TATATATATATATATTCACATATAGTGCAGTCAGAGAAGAAACTCAATGCGGCTTCCACCAGGGAGGGCCAGACCAGTTTATGAATATTGATAGAGTCTAGCTGGCTGAGTGCTAGGTCAGCTGTAGGGCTGCAGCATTCAGTCTTCCAAACTGTCTGAATGTGTTTAACACATCGTATTACATAGACAGTGTGAAGCAGCAGTCACCCAGTGCGTGTGGCTCTTCACTGCTGCCAACCAGACACTCAGCTTAAGTGTTGTTGGTGCCCACTGGCAGACATTTGGCAAAAGCCTGAGTGAACATGCATGCAGTTAGTTATGAATTCTTCTGTGTTGGCTTGTTGGAGGCATACATTATGAACAATCTTGGACACATTCCTCACAGAAATATTAAGCATCCACACATGTGCTTCACAGTAACATCCTCCTATTTTTTAATCCCCCACAACGTGCTTCATAGTAATGAGGTGCACCCAGAGCAAGCCAGTGATGTCACCCATCACTCTCTTGTCTTCACTCATATCTGGTTTCTGTGTGCTGCATGCTTGGCAAGAGCTCTTCACATAAGGAAAACAATAGTAAGCACACATACAAATGCCCTCATGCTCTTTCTCTCTCCCATACATACAGGCATGTAATCTGACATAGGGCTCCTAGCAGACACGCAGTGTGGTTATTACACTCTTCAGAGCCCAGGCCAAGTAATGGGACTTAAAGATAGAATTTTGTTAGGGCCTTTTAGAAGAAATCATACAGTATATCCAACAACGCTGTTTATCTTTGCTGAAGCCATAATATTTATTCTTTGCTCATATCTGATTCACGATTTCTGATTCATACTTTCTAGACTGTAACCTTGAGATCTCCATGAGATTGGGATTTGTCCTTTTTTTAGCATCTGGCCACAGAACAAGCAAGGCCCCCTGCCCAATGTTGCTATGGTCTTTCTGTTCCTAAACTGGTGGCGTTATTGATCTTGGCCTTCTGTTTCAAACCCAATTCCGTTCAGCAGGCCCTGTGGACAGCGCAACGCCGTCATTTGGTCAGACCCTGAGGTTTACTCTGAGCCATGAATGGATTTCTATGTTGTTCTCATAGGTTTCTGACCATTCCATCACCAGCTGGGTTTCGAGGCGACACCCCTTGTCCAACTCCCTCAATCTGAGCTTCTTTTGATAAAGCCCTCCTCTGATACTGTCATGACTGTTGTTTCTATGACTCCCCTAACAGACCCAGACCATTTCAGGCCAGAACACACACATGCACAAACATACTGGAACATTGATACAGACACGTGAATACTTTGGTCAATGTCACACACACATACCGTACCGTTTATGCCATACAGTTCACACATTGTTCTGGCAGCTGTTAAGACAGAATGAGATTTAGCCATTTTATGTCTTGTAGAAATTTGACACACATGCACATTTGGCCTGTGTGTACTCTTATGTCACTCCTCTTGCCATTAATCAAGCTTTACAAGAGCCCCTGTGTACTACAGCAGGGTTCTGAATGAATATTGCAGCATTTGCCACAAGAAAACAAGTATTGATGTGTTTTGAGGACTGCTGATACCCTGAAAACCATTTGTCTCCTCCTTAACTGTTAAACAAAACTCTCGAATGAACAAGAAATGTGACCTGTGCCCTCTGAGGCTCTTCTCTGTAATTCCTTTATTATCATGTCACTCTTTCATTATGTGCTCCTATATAGAGAAGCAATATGTTATCCTGGGTGAGTGGTGTGTCAGAGTCATGTGCGCTTCATCTCTTCGCCAGAAGTGTGTGTGTGTGTGTGTAGAAATCAGAGTGGTTGCCGTGGCACCCAAGTGGAAACAAAACAGATGTCAGCTGGTGCAGGCAGTGTGTGTGACAGAAGGGCCTCGGAGAGATATGCTGGACGTGCGGCATGATCCTCCTCTGCTGTTCAGTAATATAGGTTAAATAAACTCTCCGGGACAAGAGTTGGCTCGCTGTGACATCATTCAACTGTTAGAGGAGATATTTCTGGCACGAGAGCTGGAGTTCCAAGGTGGCCTTGTTGCTTTTTTTCTCTGGATTTGATTCTATCATCATGATATAAAGCACTGTGGTACAAGGGAGGGAAAATTCAAGGCCAAATTTAGTAGTGGGTCTACTGAAGAGAGAGGGAGAGATCATGGGAGAATGTAATGAGGTTTCTAATGTGCTCTTTTTGCCCCATTTCGTCCAGATGTTTTAACAGCGAGTTCGGTTTTTCTTGCCACCCGCATCCCATCCCCTGTCTTTCCACACACCTTACATATTAGTCCACATGCCTGTTATCAGGGAAGGATGCCCATTGTGTGTCCAGATGAGTAATAGTTTCATGGGAAGAGTAGAAATGTGTCATGGTGAAAGAATGTAGACTTCAGACCTCTCCTGTAGGTGGTATTTCTTTCTTCTCCGAACGACATCCAAACATGGAGAATGTGCATACGTGTCTAAGTGATTCGCACCAGTGCTATCACACCACTCAGTAGGGTTCCAGATATAAGATGTGGTAGGTGGTTTGAGATTATTGATACAGTACGTGTTCCCTTTTTTTGCAGCTGAGATATCAACATGGCTTGACCACCCCAGACCTGCAACAGACACTACCCAACTTGAAAAACTTCCTGGAACATGGCCTGCTGGTCCGATGGTAAGAAACAAAAGGACACTTTATACCTAAAATATTTCACTTTTTCACTGAAGCCCAAAAGATACTGTATAAAAGAGACATATCTGTATTTACAGAACACAAGTATCAATCACTCTTTAAAATAACCGGGATAGTTTACGTTTTTTCATTAATCAATCATTATTATTATTATTATTATTTCATTTCATTTTTTTTATGATCCCCATTACCTCCATCAAAACAGAAGCTGTTCCTTGTGGTTTTATTGTCCACAACAGTAATAGACAGCAGAAAATCACATGCCGATATTCCGCAACAGTGTTTGGTTTGCTTCTGGGCTACTGTAGAAACATGGTAGTTCAACATGGTGGCCTTCATGTAAGCAACCCGGAGTGTCTATAGCTATAAATCATTCCAAGGCAACAAAAATTCTTATTTTCAGGTGATTATAGACTTATGAAAACATACCTATAAATAATATATATATAATATATATGTATTTATTATATATATTTATAATATATGTATTAATATAATATCATATATACATATATACCGATCAGCCGTAACATTATGACCACCCAGACACATCAACTTTGAGGAAATGTTTGACGTTGCTGCTTACCATAATCTCACCGAAGGCTGCCATGAAACCAGCAATAATCAGTTTTATTCCACTTCACCCTGTCGAGGTGCTCATAAACTGTTATGGCCTGATATCATATAGGTATACCATACATACATACATACATAACTACATCAGCATACATACATACACACATAACACATACACACCCTACACACATACACACATCACACACACAACCACACGACACAATAATAGCATATATATTCCATTTCTGCCAATAGATCCTCCTACAGAATGGACAAACCAAAGAGAGGGTGAAGTGAGGGACTTGCAGTCTGCAACTACACTGCTAGATGGCACTAAATCCTACACACTGGACTTTAAGTCCACACCTATCTGTTATTCATTCCGCAGCTGACTGACAATGAATTTTGTCCATTCCAAACAGGCACATTTCAAATGGACACTGCAGTTGTGTGTGTGTGTGTGT